AGAGAAAAAGCTGGAGAGAGAAAGAGAAGGAAAGAGAAAGAAGAAGCTTGATTTCGGAGGCCACGGAGCGCTTTTCGTCCGACGACGCAGTTAGATGAATTGTTTGTCTTGCAATAAGGATTCCGAATCCTATTTCTGATTTCAAAGATTTTGTGTTTTGGTATTTTTTTCTGCTCCGTTTTGTGTTTCTGTTATCGAAAAACGTGCATATCTTTGTATTGATGAAACTTTTACCGCGCAACTTTTGATATGTTTCTGATATGATATTTCTGCACGATTTGAGTATTTTCTGTAAAGTTTTTACCTTTTATTTTGAGTTCTGTGCGATTTTTATCGAATAGAAAATTATCAGGATGTTGGAAAATATTGTTTTAGTACAAGTAAAGTCTTGAAACGTTGTTTTACGCGATTTCTAGTAATTTGATAATTTTCTGAATCTGTGCATTTTACAACGACTTCTGTCTACTATATGATATTTTAAGGAGTTTTCTACATTGAGCTAAATCATGTTTATTGGTTGCAATGCGTTGATGATAATGATGAATGTGATTATATGATTGAAATTGTTGTTATATTACTGTGTAATGTGTGTGTGAAAGACAGGTAAGGACTGGTTGAACCGTTGGTTGGAGATGTGATACATGTACAGGATGGTGGGCCGACGAGCTTTCCTTTAAATATGATTTGGTGTTATCCTCTACTGATCACGTGATTACTGAAGGGAGTTATAAGAAAATGATTATTGTGCCGACGGGCAAATAGTGACGCCTCTTTTTACCGAGCCAACAGATACAAGATACAAGATATTGATACAAGACTGAAAAACACCTTAATAGGCAGTGCTTTTACTTGCTCTGTATGACTACTGTACTGAATTGCGTGTTTAGCAGTATTGTTACTACTACTATACGGATTTATCGTTACTGTACGGATTTCATTACTGCACGGCTTTACTGTTAATGCATGATTTCATTGTTATACCATTACTGTTCATGTCACTAGATTGTATTGATACTGATACATGCACTGATATTACCGATTCACTGTATTTATATTATGCACGTGATATACTGTGTAAGTGACATATGATTCACTGAACATGTGATATAGATTACTGGATTTCATGTGATTCACTGACCATGTGATATTGGATAATTGATTTACAAGTGTACGTTTTGATATGATTCTACGGCATTGATTGATTTCGACTGTTTCAAATAACGTTATGATTTTATTTCATTGATTTGATTGATACTACCGATACGAAGGTTTCTTTAACGATTTAACTGTCTACGGAATTGACTGGTGTTATTGATAGTGACGACTATTGTAGAGATTTGACATACGTACTGATTCATTGAGCTTTACGGACTTTTATACTGTTTACTGATTCTTCTATTGCCAATTAAGGAGTTTATTATTTATGTATTGATATAGTTTACGCATTGACTACCGTTTCTGTACCGATTACTGTTTATGCATTGATTTCTGATTCTGCATTGATTCAAATGATCATGTGTAAGTGACTACAAGGGAGCATGAAGTGATGGTTGATCAAGACTGTCGACGAATCCTTTCATTATGGATGCGTGGGGCATCACACATGTGGTGGTCTGACAGAACTCCGGGCGATGGTAGAGGTGGCAAGGAGGTAAGAGCAATATCTGACCTCTGCTTCGGGTCCCTTTTTAAGAGGAATGAAGGGTTTATTTATAAATTTCTTAGAGTGGCATAGTCCGTAAATAGGAGGAAGATCAAGGACGAATGAGGAGTGGTTTGGATGGACGACCAATATTAAATCCCTTAATTGTGGACAGTTTGCTAGCCATTTGAAGGTCTTAATGATGTTGGAGTTCCATGATCATGGGCTTGTTGGATTCGTCTCGTCGAGCCGCTCGATTCGATTATAAGAATGTCATGTTTGGAAACCGTTTGGTAATCCAAATTGTGGTTTGAACCTTCTAACAGTTCTTCGGGTCCTTGATTTGGAATCATTTATGCTCGGATTGAGTCGAATTTGGAGTTGTTGGTTAATATTTTTGATAAGTTTAGTTCGACGGTAAGTTTACTGAAATCGGAGTTCAAATGGTCCCGGTTTTAATTTTGAAAGTTTCCACCCTGATTTTCCTTCGAGATTCGTGCCCAATCATGAAATTTTTTTAATGATGTATCAATTCTCTATTTGTATCTAAGTCCTATAACTCTTCTATGTCCCTAGCCTTAATTCATCTATTGTCTATATAAACAAATTCCCAAAATCATGATATTGTGATAAAAGCTAAAGCTCCCAACCATTAAGCTAAGATGAGCTACATTACCTCTATATCACTCATTAATTAGTTTTTTTTTTCTAAAAATTTGATTCATAATTAAATTATCTTACATTTATTATCAAACCAATTTTTATATGAAATTTTGAATGAACGATCCTGATTTACCAATTAGATATTTAATGACTGAAAAATATACCCAAATTAAATCTGATGGAAAATGATCTCTTTGCAATAGGGGTGTCAATTCGGGTCAGCGGGTCGGGCTCGGGTCGAACTCGGAACTGACCCGACACTGTTCGGGTCAACCCGAACCCGACCTGTTTTTAAAAACGGGGCAGGTTTCCGGATCCGAACCCTACCCGATTCGGGTCCGG